TATATAGCTATACATAAAAGTATCCTAACTAGAGTTTTAGGAAGGCATATTCTCTCAGACAACTGAATTACTTTGTTCTGAATTGAATTTCCATGAGACAACTGTGTGTTCCTGGGGCACTTTGATTCTTTGTGCCTTGAGATCCCCATATTTAAGACAAAGTTCAGTTTTTCAGAATCATGTAACAAAGATTGGGGCTGCTGTGTCTCAGCATCCAAATTATTTGGAAACCTGGGTATCCTCATACACAAGATGTATTTTTCATATTTTGGAGTCAGTAAAATAAGGAGCAGGATCACACAAGAAACCTGATGCTGAACAGCTGGATTGGAACATGAATGCATTTGAAGCCATCACACTATTGTGAGTTTGTCAAAAGCATAAGGAACATTGCTTTTCTTACAAGATTCCCAAGGAAGGGCTATCTGAAAGCTTTTTGCAAGTCTGGAAGGAAGTGGGGAGGCTTGGGGTTGACAGAGGGTCGTTGCAACAGCAACCACTCTTCTATCTCTATGGCTTTGCTATCCTAGAATAGGATATCACAGTATGTGACTGAGAAGAAAAATCATCCATTTAATCTAAGTTTTCAAAGTAATTAGGATATTTCTGTGAAGAAAAATTATCAGATTAATAGATATTTCTCCCTATTCTTAAATTTTTGCTTTGGTTACTTTTCACAGTCTCTAAATGCTAATGTATGTTGCTTCCCATAATTGATTTTGTCTTTCTTATTCCTACCTTTCTTTTTATATCCATAAAAATCCTCTGAATATTCCTCCTATTTATCTTTGCGTGCTTCCTAAGAAGAATGCACCTAAGCTAAATTATTAGTATGCCATAAGCTCTCAGTCAAGATCCATGGGAAGATACAGAGGGACGGATGAGCCTTGTCTGTAGTTCAGTGGGAAGGATTAGGTAAGCAGGTCTTGAAAGAAGGTGCTAACTCTTAGAGAACACTGGAGAAGTCTAAAGGTGAGGCATCTCCCTCACTCAGGAGCAAAAATGAAAGCAACTAGTAAGGGTAAAGAGCAGCCTCCAGCCAGAAGAACTAACAGAGATCCTCAAGATCAAGGAGATGGTAGGAGGTAAACAATGCAGACAAGCTCAGTGTTTAAAAAAGTCCAGATGTTTTTGAGTTAGCGTCCAAGACATTGGCTGGAGACTTGGAGTAGAGCTCAAAGCATATAGCTAACCTCTTTTATTGGATCTGATTCCCGTACAATATGCACAATGCCTGTTGTACTAACAGTGTCATTTAGAGTGGGTCTCTTGCATGTGGTTGGTAATCAACAGCTTCAAAGGCATCTACAGAATCTTCTGTCCTTGAGAGTAAGTAATGTGTTCTGTTTCAATGTGTGTCAGTCCATCACTGTCTTATTCATATGTCTCTCAGTGCCCTAAGCTCTATATAAATGTTCACATTGCTGAATGGTTAAAAATGCATCAGATATGTCTGTGTTTGTTTAGATTTATCACTTTTTACCTAAACAATTTGCTTATTGCCTTTGGGTCTCTGGATTCTCATCTCTAAAACAGTGATGACAATAGTAACAGTTTTTAGGGTTTTCTGTGAGTCTAAAATGAGATGGCAGATTTGAAAGTACTTGGGCTAAACCACATCCTGTTTCATAAGCAAATGTCCAATGTGTAGTAGCTCTGATGGTCATTACATGATTTTGTAGTGAATCAATGAGGGACAAGTGGGCTGAAGAAGGGCATTGGTATATTGGATGAGGTTTCAACGTAGAACTAGGAAACAGCTTAATGGGCATGATTATGGCAGTTCTCCAAGTCTCCGTCCCTTCTCGTGGCATCTCATAAATGATCTGGATGCTGAGACAATGGAAGTAATGTTAGCGTCTCTTCCTTTGTGTAAAGCTTGCAATCATGTTGGCTGGGAAAACAGGGATTGAATAGATCTTGCGTGGGGGATGATATTATTAATATAAACATTTTTCAAATGTAGCATATTGCTCCCTGCACACCGCAAGCTGTTGTTAGTTTGTGAACACTGCGCTTTTGGAAAGCCATTGCTGACAGCTTGAATGAGATTCTCAGAACAATTAGAGGCTTTGAACACTTACAAGCTAAGGAGTTGGATAAGCATAGTTTTGACTCCATGGTTCCTCCTGGGGTTTGCCTGATGTGCTGGACTAATTATCAGATATAATTAGGAAGGCTGAGAAGTGGGGAGACAACAGGGAGCGGGCTATTTTCCCAGGGACCCTCATTTTTTTTTCGCTCATAAGGGGACTGGAGAGACTGTCTCCACTGTAAAAAGCAGCAATGCATATCTCACTTGAAGACAAGAAGGATCCTGGAACATGGCTTTATGGAGCCCATTGCTCTTTATGGGGTTTCAAGTGGTCAGCACAGATTTCTTCTGTTAATTTTTCAGTAAAGAATGATATTCTAGGTCATTACAAGTAGGAGGGGCATGGTGGTGCACTCCTTTAATCCCAGTACTCTGGAGGTAGAGGCAGGTGGATCTCTGTGAGTTCAAAGCCAGTTTGTTCTACATAGCAAGTTCCAGGCCAGCTGGGGCTACAGAAAGACTCACAAGTTGCAGAAAATCTTCTCTCATTGCCTTGGCTGAGACCCAGAGTTGGGTCATGGCTACTCTTCCTTTGAGGTGCTAGAAGAAGTGACATTTGTTGGGGAATTTGTGGAATGAGTTTCTTCAGAGAGGGCTCTGTTTGGACATCACCTCAATCTTACTCTTGAAGACACAGAAATAAAACGAACGTGCATAAAAAGACGATGACAGGTTTATGTTTGCCCACTATTCACCATAGCTATGACTATGAGTGTGGATAGTATTTTGAGAAAAAGGACATCACTGGAAGTTAGAGATGGTGGCCTAGATGTGAAGTATTTCCCCCCTGTCAACAGGATTTATGAGCACTGATGTAAGGACATCAAATGCTAACCTAGTATTTCGGCTTTCTCCACAGGTTACCTGTCTCCATGATTTCTTTGGCGATGATGATGTGTTTATTGCCTGCGGCCCTGAAAAATTTCGCTATGCGCAGGATGATTTTTCCTTAGATGAAAATGGTAAGCACAATTATCTGGCTTTGCTTCTGTCATGGTCTCATATTCTATCCCTTAGGAGTTTCATGAACTTGTGTGGTATGGAGAACACTGAAGCATGGTACCCCAAGGGCAAAAATTGTTAGTCTTTGTATAACTGTCTCACAAAGTGAAAGGTCAAACCAGATCTTGCAGAAGTGCAGCCTTCAAAAACTCCATGAAACTCACCATCTTCCCCAATAATGACCACAATTCTTGAACCAGATACTATGTCATATGATCTAACAGGCACCATCAAACTACAGTAAGGAACATCGGGAGTAAGAGCTTGTATATTGCACATACACATTTTGTTTTAGTCATCCTAATGGTCTTAAACTACAAAAATTTTTTTTTCAATTCTGTGCTTAGTGTGAAACTCATTCCCATCCTTTGTGCTTGCTGCCCTGTTCTACCTACATGCTAGTAACTCAGGATTCTAGAGGATTATTCACCTTGGGAAAGAACTGAACATCTGCCCATCTATCTCTCTTTAGTTTTAGCTCCAGGTGTAAGTTATAAGTGACATAGCTTATACAACAGGATAGAATATAATACAGATGGAAAGACATATTCAAAACATACTTCCCATTTATAAATATCAAATCAGGAGCTTTCACTAATATGCAGTCCAAAAGTAATTCAAGTGACAAGGATCTTTTTAAAAAGTGGCATCAGGGCTGGAGAGATGGTTAAGAGCACTGGCTATTCTTGCAGAGGACCCGGGTTACATTCCCAAGATTCATATGGCTCTTAACAATCAGCCATAACTCCAGGTCCAGGGGAATCCTATGCCCTCTTCTCATCTATGTGGGCATTTCCTGACATGGGTGCACTTACATACATGCAGACAGTACACTTATACACATAAAATTTTTTAAAAATCATATATTTTTTAAAGTGGCATTTATATGATTTTGTCTTTTAGAAAAGGCAAATAACTATGAAATAGCCGAACAAATCCCGGTTATCTCCAATTTCCTATGCTGTCTGCATCTATAGCTCTGGATAGTGACCACTGAAGTTCATAAACCAAAATAAAAAGTGAAATCAGTTGTTTTTTTAAAAAAAATAAACGCATAAAATTGATAGGGAAAATTAGTGGGATGGGGAGAAATTGGAGGGGAGGCAATGAGGGGTAGACTTGATTAAAATTCATTGCATGCATGCATGAAATTCTTTAACAATAAAGAAACTACTACTAAAAGTAATATAGTATACAGAAAAGTAGAACAAACAAAAATGGACTTTCCACTGAATTCGGTTTCCTAAGAAGTTCAACTGACTAAATTAAGCCCCTCTCCTAATTTTTCTGGTTAATGTGCATATCAGTATACTTTTAAGTGGGTGTCAACAAGGAGATGTCTAAATAAAAATCTATCCTTTGCTTAGTTGTTTGATTCTACTATTTATATAATGGCACAAAGAAACTGTACAGGAAAGAGACGGGAACTCAGGAGGTATAGCTGCTAGTCCTTTTGCTACTTTCTTGCTTTGTGACCCTAAGCAAGAGGCGTGAGTTCTCAGCACTCTCATGAGAAAAATAAATATAATGATTTTCCTCATAAATTAGCACTCTCAGTTCCCCAAAGTACTCTCATGCAAGATGCTGAGTGGTTTTCATAGAAAGAGTGTTCTAAGTGTATCAGACTGGGGTTAGGGCAGGAAATACTCAGCCAACTCTACTGCATACCTGTGAGATCTTCTCAAGGAATGAGTGTAGAGTCACTGTTGGCACATTTATCAATTAAACCAGCAGTAGAGATTATAAAATGCATTGGAAATTGAAGAAAAGCTGTATGAATGCAAGGCAGCAGTAGTGCTTATTTGTGTAAAATGACATGATATCCTTAATGTGCCTATTACAATGTACAGCATGTAATAGACAATGAGATGTAGCTTATGGATGTTGCATCTATGTAATCATGACATCTGGTCAACTTGTACTGCAATCTGTATCCACCAATGCTATTTTCAAGTATGGCCAGGTCAATTTCAAGTGATTAAGTTGACTTGTGTACTAATTGCTTGCTTCAAAACATCACCCTTGCTCTGTAATTGAGGAACTTAAGTACCCAGTATAGCCCCAGTGACTTTTCAAAATTTTCCTCATGCCTTCCTCCCGAGTCGTAGTTTCTACAAAGACAAGGAATAACTTGTAATCCTGAGCCACTTACATGCTTTGGCCTGTGGTGACCATTCCAGATTCAAAATAGTGTAACATGCTAGGGCCCAGTGCTACCTTCTGCTAAGCTGCCTGTATTCTTTTGCCCCAGAGTGCAGAGTTATGAAAGGAAATCCATCGGCCACAGCTGGTCCCAAAGCATCTCCAACTCCCCAGAAGAGCTCAGCCAAGAGCCCTGGGCCTATGCGTCGCAGCAAGTCTCCAGCTGACTCAGGTAACGACCAAGACGGTGAGTGCTCTTCTCCTACTGTGCATGCTGACTTCATTTATGGAGACTGATACCTTCTGCATGAAACAAATTACTTCCTCATGATCATCACTGTTTCTCCATTAATTCTATTAATTCAGAGAGTAAAACAAACTTGTTTGAAGTTATGGAGGCACAACCCCAACTCTTACTGGACTCAGAGGAAGGCAGAACAGAAATGTTGTGATTACTTTTGATATTATCTGGCAAAAATATATTCAATAAAATAGTCAAGAAATACATAATGCTAAATTGAAAAGCAGAATCAAGGACAAGAATGTAAAAATTGGCACACCAACATAGATGATGTTCTTCAGCTCCAAACTTGTGAATAAATCAAAAACCACAAAAAGGGAACCAAGTATAGCATTCATGTATTCATTCATTCATTCATTCATTCTTTCATTCATTTTTGGTCTTTTTGAGACCCCAGCTGACCTGGATTTGCTCTGTAAACCAGGGTGGACTCAATCTCATAGATATCCACCTACCTCTGCTTCTGGAGTGCTGGGACTAAAAGTGTGTGTCACAACACCTAGCTGTACATATTTTTTTTAAACAGGGAGTAAGACGAATGATATTACTCTTACAATGCATAAAGAAATCACATACTAGGTTCTGACAGCATCAAAGACATTTTGACTAAAACATTTAGTGGATAGTAATTAAAATGTATGCTCTATGGATCACTGCCAATCCTAGGAGCTGTTTATTGGTTGGTGTATGCTAACATTTAGGAGCTTGTGCCAAATGTAAATTAACAATCCCACTAAGCAAATTATTTAGGTTTCTTGCCCTTTTTTCAAAGATTTATTTTATTGATTATGATAGCAGTGTGTGTATACTTACATTCTGGCAGAAGCTCTTTATATTGTCTTGGACCCAAAGTTTGAGTGCCACTAATCTAAAAGACAATATCGTCTACTCTTTTATAATACAAGTTGTTAAAAGTTAAAAGCACAAAAAATCAATAAAATATATTTTTAATTAAAAAAAGAAATTAAAAGCCATCGCATTCCAAGTGCAGAAGTTTAGTAGACTCATGTGCAATTTGAATTAATCACACAAAGAATATTATGCAGTCCAGAAGACTTACACATTTCTCCTCCCAAGAATCATAGTTCATCATGAGTTCTTCAAGAGTCATGTTCTTTGAAGCAGTTTGAACAGCTTGTTGGCTTTAAAATGCATGGGTTTAGAAAAATACCCTGTCCTGCTTGCTTTACACTACCAGAATTATACATATCATTAGCCACTGCTTAATTTTAGGCAAAGGAAACTAAATTATGAAAGCCAGCTTGGGCCTTTTATACCTCATACATCTGCATACCTTCTTTTCCTCATGCCTAGAATGCTGCCCTTCCAAACCATTGCTCATTGCTTGAAAAATTCCTGTTCTTCCTTCCAAAGCTCACATAGAGAACATTCTCATTCTGTGCAATAACATAACATGCCATCCCTATCTCTGAGTAGTAGTAGTCACTACACTGTGTTGTAAATTGTGTATTTCTCTGTCTGCTTCCCCAACTAAATGCTGAGTCCCTGAAGGGGAGGTGTTATGTTCATTTTGTGTCCTCGGTGCTGAGCACAGTGCCTGTTCATACTCAAATAGTGTTTCTGAATGAATTGATGGGAAAAGGTACCTAGTCCCCCCAGCATGATGCTAAAGACCCAGTACGCATTTAGGGAATGTTTACTGAAGGAATATAAACACATGTGCTTTGATGATGTTTTGTTCAAGCATGCAGAAGAGCATGTGGATGTTTCTAAGCAATTCATATTGCTCAAACTACAAAGATAAGGGTTTTAACATTTGGATGGAGAATAACACCATTTGGGAAGATTTCTAAGTAGAGACTTGAAATAAAAGAACTTTAAAACATTTGTTCAAGAGCTGTGGATCTAGCTCTGTTGGTAGAGTGCTCACCTAGCATGTACAAAGCCCTGTTGAGCTCCAGGACTGCATAGACCAAGATTTGTGGTGCATGCTTATAATCCCAGCATTTGGGTGGTGGAGGTAGGATCAGTAGTTCAAGGCTATCCTTGACAACATTAGAAGTATGAAGTCAGTCTGGGATATAATATATCCTGTCAAAAATTTTGTTTGAGATGTGTAAAGTCAGGTGATTAATTGCTTAGATAGTAATTTTTCAGAAATATTGCTAGATATTCTTGAGTACTGCTAGCTGTGTTATTTGTTTCTTGCTGTGAAACACCCTAAAACTTAGTGCCTGAAAATACACATTTGTTATCTCATCATTTCTGTCAGTCAGGAATTTGGGAGTAGCTTAGGCAGGTAGCTCCAGCTCAGAGTTTTTCATGTTATGGTGGATAGGGTGTTGGAAGGAGCAACAGCCATTGGAAGGCTCAATTGGGGCTACAGGACTCACTTCCAAGTTGCCTGTGGGCAGGATCTTCCACATGAGTGTGAGTAAAGAGAATGAATAATGATGCAATGTCTTCTATGATGCAGTATCCAGAGACAACACTGCCGCTTCTCCCTTATTCTAATCTTTAGAATCAATCCCTAAGTCCAGCCAACATTCCAGGGGTGGGGAATTAGACTCCACCCCTTTAAAGGAGCCCCATGAATTACTTGTGGGCTTATTTATTTATTATCATATATTAATTGTACAAATTACTGAGTTTCATTATGACATCTTCAAACTTGTGTACAACATACTTGATTGTATTCACAGAACCCCACATTCCCATCCTTATCCCTCCTCTTATTCCCTGTCCCACTGGTGTGGACCTATTTTTTAAACCATTATGCAACCTATTAGAAATTTTCAGGTAGACAGCAGCTTTAAGTAAATAGATTCTTTTTTGAAAAGTGTATTCAATGGGTTCCCAGGACATATGAGCACAACCCCCAAAAAGAGCATAAAATTCTTCTTACAGCTGTCTGAAATTTAAGAAGGAAAATTATTTCACAAAATGTGAGTTTTTCTGAGGTTTTAACAAGGGAAATATTCAGGCTAACATTCATTTAACCAAAGAGTAATAGTGATGTTGAGTCTAAAAGTCTTTTTTTTTTTTTTCTAGATCATGGTAGTTAGTAACACCCTGTTACCATCTCATGTTTGTCTGATTTGGATCTGAAGTTTGCGGATAGATTCATATACCTTCAATTTGAGTGACTAGGGATTATAGAAAATAAGCCATTTCCAGGGAAATTTACCTTCTTTCTTTTGAAGAAAAAAAGAAGAAGTAAAAATTGTTCCTCCTAAGCAGAAACTCAGACCAAATACAGCATTGGTTTATTTTAAGTTTAGTTGAAAAGTGATTGCTAGATATGTGCCTGCATATACATGTGTATTCATGTATACATATATGTGCATATCTATAATTTGGTTCATTTCATAGTTCATAGTTCATTTAATATCTGGATTCATTTTGACTTGAGAGTTAGAAAACTATTGCTGTTTGGCAACAAATTATGATTTGATGCATTGATGTTTAGTCCTTAAGTGGTTTCTTTCCTGCCCTGCTGCATGAATAAATCATAATACTTCTACTTTCTCTTCAGATTTAAATCCCACTTCTGGGAATATTCAGTTACCCAAGATTGTGTGTGGCTGACCCCTGAACTTGTGTTAAGGAAGGATTTGATTGTCCACATTCTTGTAAGGAGCTTATTCTAGCTGAGCAGACATGGTGGCCTCTTAGGGTCCAAGTCTGTCTTTAAAGCAGGCCAAAGAACTGAAGGAAGCAGATAAAATATGACTTCAGGAGGCTCCTATGGGGCATTTGAAGAAAGTTTATTCAGTGCCATATTTTAGTTCACTCACAACTTGCCATTATGATAGACAAAGGTTAAGTTTGGCTTCAGAACAACTAAAGACCTGCATTTCTAGTGTGTGTCTGTTTTTATTTCAATCTTTGAAATGATAATTTTCCCTTTATGGAACTACCTCCCCCCACTGAAATGATTTGAATTGAAAGGACAAAATAACTAGTTGCTGGAAAGGAATCTCTCTCTCTCTCTCTCTCTCTCTCTCTCTCTCTCTCTCTCTGAGATGTTGGAAAGAGATCTCTCTCTCTCTCTCTCTCTCTCTCTCTCTCTCTCTCTCTCTCTCTCCATAGGTCCTTGCCCATCCTGGTAGACTACAAGAACTGAAATGTGATAGTTTGCTGTTCTTCGGCAATTAGTCATTGTCGTAGTCTCTGAGTTCTCTGTGTCCCTTCCCTCAACTCTTGTGTTTCTAGTCCTGAAAGTCAAAACTTTCCAGCTTCTAAACTTCTAAGTAAGAATGGGTTTTTTACCAGTATCATACAAGTATTTAGCACCCAGTAGCCAGAATCCAACTCTCCTTACTTCCCACTTATGTGAGGCAAAGGTACAGGATGCCTTCTGTTAATGAGAAGGTATCCTTTGGAGGGTCCTTGCTTCTTAACTTCCTTCTCCATGCCCCTACCTCCAGGCCAGGCATGTGGGAAGGCAGAAAGGAGGTGAGGTGGTTTCTGGGCTATCATTTTTACGCTAAGTTGAATACAACGTCACAGGTAAGCTTATGCCTTTGTTTCTTTCTAAAGATCTGTCTTAAACAGAACCCCTTAATTCCCCTAATATCGCTTCAAGAGAAGTGATGTCCTTGCCAGAACTTCAGGGAAGTGAAAATTCACTCATGTCATTTCTTATCTGAGAGAAACTCGTCTGTATAAAAATGTTGCAGGATTAGCTAGGGATATATCTCAGTGGTAGATACTTGTAGATACTTGCCTGTCATAAGTGAGGTCCATGGATCTACCCCTAGCACCAGAAAATACTACAAGATTGGGTAAATAAATTTAATTTGCAACAGGGAAGACTCTTATCCACTTTATTTAAAGAATTCACAAGTGTATACTGCCCAAGGCACTTTGAAGAATAGATTTAAAGTTCACATTTCATCTTGTAAAGCTACAGTATCTTACAGTCTATGAATTTGGCCTGGGAAGCAACCCAATAAAAATCACCGAAAAACTGTTTCTGGGCT